TGGTGTGTATATTAATACACAAAGAGACATAGTTTTAAAAGTGTAGTATTGTTTTCAACTTAAGCAATCTTTACCCATTGTCCCAATTGATTGAATCAGATTGTTTGAGTGATGTTACATTTTGAAGTTAATGAAATATTTAAAAGGCCATGGTGATTTAACTGCTGAGGTAGTATACAAAACGGATTGATTCACATTCAGTACAATTTCATTAAAAAATCTTACCTATAAAACAAACTTTTTATACATCTAATATTAATTTATTGCTTGAAAAGTTTCTATCATTTATCTCTATCAAAGTAAGTTACATTTCAAGTTTTTTCTTTTCAACCCTAAACAGCAGCATTAATTTTTGCAAACATTAATGATGAGCCATACCCACTCATAACTATGTTTAAATTGTCTTAGATCAATTGAACAATTTCTGAGTAACTAATGGCTAGTATTTTATTATCCTATGATGATAAGTGATTTGACAGTATCCAAGCTTCTGACATATTTTTGAAAACTTATTTCTATATGGGTCAAAATTTAAATCAGTTGTAATACATGATCCACTCAAATACATTCTCCAGAATGAGCTATTAAAATGAAATACCAAAGTGGTTTCCCAAGACGGCAATTTATAGTCTATATGTGCAGTGCAGGGTCACTGAACCAAAGCACAGTGTAATCAAGGAAATTTTATTTCTTGTCTTCTTTTTCCTAAGATGTTTCTTACTCCCAGTTACGTGAAAATGTACATTACAAGAAAAGAAAAATTAGCACACGTAGAAGTAAATATAATGTATACCATATTGATATCAGCTTTGCTTTATCTGTTAAAGGATAAAACAAACTCCCGGTTTCAGGATCTTGTAACTCCGTGTTCACTGGAAAGCACAGAAATTCTTGAGAACCTCTCCAGAGTCATATTTAATGCATTATTCAAATAGCGTCCAACCAGTGGTTAGATAGCTTAGCACTCAAGTAGACTTGAAAATCTCTGTAGACTTAGCCGGGCATGGTGGCACGTGCCTGTAATCCCAGCTACTCAGGAGGCTGAGGCAGGAGAATCGCTTGAACCTGGAAAGCGGAGGTTGCAGTGAACAAAGATCATTCAAAAAAACCTTTAAAACAAGAAATCTCTGCAAACTCATCTCAATTGAACAGTCCTGATAATTTACAGAAACATGTAACACACTAAGAGATCCCTGATGTACAATGTCTTTGCCCGTAAAGTGTTTTATGTGTTGATCTACTAGAGTGTGTGTGTGTGAGTGTGCGTGTCTGTCTGCCTGCCTGCCTGTATGTAGGTGGGTGAATATGGGTTTGTGCAGGGGTGTGTGTGTGTGTTTACATTGTGTATGTGTCTGTTGGGATGCCGCCATTAGGAGTTTGGAAGAGTGAAGACCATAAACTTGTAAACATGCTTGCTTCATAAGAATTATACCAAATATGTTCAAAAGTAACTAAACCAAGTAAACATTTAGACATCAATTAAATTTAATGCTGGGCTGGAAAGAAGTATTCAAGGCCAGGTAACAGGAAGAAATATAGCCAAATGAATGAAATCTTTAAATTAGTAGAAGGAGCCGGGAATATTTTTTAAAGTTTTAAATTTCTGGTGAATATCAGTCTATAAAACTAAGAATTACATGGCTGCCAACTGACTAAAAACAGTACTTTAAGATTTGAGCTGGTGAAATTGCCATATATGATCTTCTAATTCCATTGTCTGTCTCAAGAATGGCTTATTTAAATGATTTCTTTTTGAAATGTTACATTCTCATCTTGAAAGAGCTTCACACAACCTACATGGGAATCTGGATTGTCATAAGACATGTGGTTTTTAAAATGGCATGTTCGTATTTCTGTTATGTACATCAAGATCAAACATTCATTCCCTGAGCTCTTCTCCAGAACACAATTTGACTTGTAATGAACACTCAATAAATGGTTGGTTGGAGGATCAAATCAACACCTTAGTTTCATCAATGTTCATTTCACATAAAATGACTGATCTTCTGTACTCATCAGTGAAACAGAGAGAGATGAGGGAGGGAGAGAAATTGAGACTGAGAGGATGACAAGCAGACCTCATGCTGCAGTGATTTCCTGCACTCTACACTTCTCAATGCTCGGAAACACTTACCATACTCAAAAAACGTTGGTATTTCCCAGGCAGAAAATGGAAGTTAAAGAAAGTCCACATTCTATATTACAATAACTTACACTATCGTACACAGATGACATACATTTCTTAAGCTATTCAATTCATAGAAAATGTAGACACATTTAGGTGAGCAAGATCTAAAAGAAGCATTAATCAAGCTGAGTGTGATTGTGAGATTCAGTCTAATATCTTATACAATGGTTGCGTAATTGTATCGGTTGAAAAATCTGTTGAAATGAAAGGTGGGAGAGTTTCTCATGAGCTACTAAAACTTACTGCATGATGCTGAGAGAGAGGCTGGTCCATGTGATTAGGCCAGATGTGTTTGCTAATTGTGGCTTAGGAAAGTTAGGTTCCTAACCACTCTCAGAGACTGGGAGCTAGGGATGCTAAATTTTATAACATTTACATTTAATATATATTTAATAATACATAATAAAATCTTTAAGATGTCAATTTTGTCTTTTCTCTAGTTTGCAATATTTTGTTTTCAGTAAACCATTGTTTTTAGTACATACATTTTGTGTATTTAAAAAGTGTGTTAAAAATGTTAGACCAACTCTCCTTTTACTGCCGTCCCTTTTTACCCTTTACTGCCTTTTACATCCACACATTCACCCACACATGCACACACACATACTGACCAAAATTAGTTTAGATGTACAAATGTGACCTTTGAAGTAAAACGTCAGACTATATTAGTAAAAGTGTCATGCCAGTTCCAATTATATTTATAATCCTCCCCCCCTTTTTTTAGAGACAACGTTTCACTCTGTTGCCCAGGCTGGAGTGCAGTGGTGCAATCTCGGCTCACCGTAACCTCCACCTCCCAGTTTCAAGCGATCCTCCTACCTCTTCAACCTTCTGAGTAGCAGGAATTACAGGCGCCTTCCACCACTCCTGGCTAATTTTTGTAGTTTTGATAGAGATGAAGTTTAAACGTGTTGGTCACATTGGTCTTGAACTCCTGACCTCAGGTGCTTTGCCTGCCTCGGCTCCCAAAGTGCTGGGATTACAGGCGTAAGCTACTGTGACCGGCTTTATGATCCTTTTAAGAAGAAAGAACTTCCTTAATTTTTTGAAGAGACTATTCTGTATCCGTTTTATAATTTTGTGACCATCAAAAAAATATGTCCAATCATAGACACAGTGAATATAATAAGTGGCAGTTTAAAGTGTTGACTTTTGGTCAGGTGTGGTGGTCAGGTGTGGTGGCTCACACCTGGAATTCCAACACTTTGGGAGTCTGAGGCGGGTGGATCACTTGAGGTCAAGAGTTTGAGATCATCCTGGCCAACATAGTGAAACCTCCCTCTCTATTGAACATACAAAAATTAGCCAGGTGTAGTGGTGCGTGTCTGTAGTCTCAGCTACACGGGGAGGCTGAGGGAGGAGAATCGGTTGAACCTGGGAGGCCAGGTTTGCAGTGAGCCGTGATCACGCCACTGCACGCCAGCCTGAGTGACAGAGCAAGACTCCTTCTCAAAAATAAATAAAATAAAATGTTGAATTTTTACAAGTCTTTGCTCCATTCTAATTTTTGAATGCAACCACACCCTCTACCAAACAGCCTTGTTAAACTAATTCACTCATAATAAAATTCTTAAGTGACCGGAGAATTCCACAGGAATTTATATTGCTTTTTATGTTCAAGAAAATTAAGAGCCTGAAAAAAACTGATGTGTTCTGCAAAACTGAATTATTTTCTATACAGTGCCACTGGTTTCCAGTGTTTTATCTTTATATTAAAGCATACGGTAAAACATTGGTTTCATGTTGGTTGTTGAAAATTTTTCTATTAGCTATGGCTGCTGAAACCATGGAGAAAAGGGTTAATTTCCAGAACAAATTAATCATTAATTAAATGTCAGAGAAAAATTGCAAGAGATGGTGTTAAAGAGGTAGAGAAAATGTTGTTCAAGGCTATTGCAACAGAGGGGAAGATTGAATTCAACTCTGGAAACAAGAGGAGGGAGAGTTTTGCATGAGCTAGTGAAATCTACTGCATGATGCTGGGGGAGAGGCTGGCCAGTGTCATCGGGCCAGATGGATTTGCTAATTGAGGATTAGGAAAGTTAGGTTCCTAACCTCTCACAGAGATGGTAAGATAGGGGTGTTATCTTTCTAGATGATTACCTTGCAATGGGATAGCTCCCAGGTCCTTGGGAGAGACATTTCTGCATTGTAAAACTGGCCAGAGGCTAGGGAATGATTTACATCTCAAAGGGGCAATTTCAACTTCACTGAAGTGAGTGATCTTAGGGAGTGCAAGTGAGGGACCCAGCATCAGAAGAAAACCTGCTTAAAGTTTTGTCTGGCTGGGGAGAAAGTTCAGGTTATTATCTCATGGTGATACGCAACAGATGAAAACAGTATGATTTCTTCTAAACATGGTGATGTGACACATCATTTCACACATTTATACATCATATAATTAATATCAATCCATCAGTCTTGGACTTCTAATAAAACAAAATGTGTTTTTGTTTTGTTTTATTAATAGCATCAACCAACTAGTGAGACAATAGGGACCAACCAGATCCTAATTTAGATTGGATCAGAAGAAACTAGAACCAGGAATCCACCCTTCAGAACTCTTTTCAAGTCAGGAAATTTGCTTTCTGGAGAAAGCCACCAAAAGTCCGAGCCGCACATTTGGGAGCCCTAGGGACTTAGGGGAAGAAATATTGTTTTTTAAAACTTCTCAAAAGTGGGGACCCTGTTAACCACTGAGGTTGTCTGGAAACCCAAAAGACTGCTTCCTGCAAGAAAGGATAAAACAATTAAACTTGACATAACATGTACTATAGTGTAGAAACTCCAATCCTTAAAGCAGTATTAAGATGCTCACTTTGGTTGCACACGTTCTAAAACTGGAAAAACACAGATAAGATTAGCATGGTCCCCGTCCAAAGACGACATGTAAATTTGTCACATAATTCCTCTTTAAAAAAAATAGTATTGAGGTATTAATACCTTAAAATTGTATGATTAGTAGTTCTGAGACTACACATTCCCCCAGGCACCTGACCAAAGAAATGTTTCTCTAGGGTAAGATAAAATCAGCTGAGGAGTCAGCAATATTATGGGTTTAAACCATCCTTAAGTAATATTTTACCCCTTAAAACATAATTGAAATAAATTATCACTAAACAGAAGAGCAATGCTATGAAGTCATAAGCACTTCAAGACTCAAACTCTTAGAGTCTGGAAGAAACAGATAGAGCACAAATCAGCACATCTAGGTGGCAACCAAATACTCATAAAGAAGAGAGGTAATGTTATAGCATCTACATTGAATGAAGTATTATACTGTGCCATATTTCATTTGTCTCATAAGACATTATATTCTTTGTAGCTTGCAAATGTTAATTTAAAAAAATCACCACACTTGCATGTTTAATAGGACTTGATTCAGGATGGTTTTATATTCTTATTTACAGTACCAATCAGAAGAAAGCTTTTACAATTACATTAGGAAATGATAAGGTGGAATAGAACTGACCCTATAGAAGCCGAGTGTTAAAGGACCTCCAGATTTCATCCAGCATACCATGGTAATAATACAGCTAAGCCAAGAGAGAGGACAGTTTGGATGATCTATTAAAGACATATGGTTCCATCATGTAACCACATACCCTGGAGGAGTCAAAGATGAGGACTTTGAATCTGGGTTCAGTGAGTCAGAGTCACTCCTAGTGTGGACATGTCACTGCTTGGATTGTGATATTTAGGTGGCACACATATTTCACACAACATGGTCTGGACCTGCAAGAAATTACCTCATTCCATGCTCTAGTAAACGTTAGTTTGTTCTAATGTTCAGGGTTCAATTCGGTTCAATGAGAGATGTATGACTGTTTACGTAATTTCCACGTTAACAATTAACTGTAAAACCTAATCACTCACAGGCCAGATGTGGTGGCTCATGCCTGTAATCCCCACATTTTGGAAGGCCCAGATGGAAAGATGGTTTGAGCCGAGGAGTTCAAGACTAGCCTGGGTAACATAGTGAGAACCCCATCTCTATAAAAAAAATAAAAAATTAGTTGGGCAGGGTGATGGGTGCCTGGGATCACAACTACTTGAGAGGCTGAGCATTGAATGAGCCCAGGAGGTCAAGTGAGGCTGCAGTGAGCTGTGATGGTGCCATTGCACTGTAGCCTGGGGCAACAGAGGAAGATCCTGTCTCCTCTCTCTCTCTCTCTCTCTCTCTCACACACACACACACACACACACACACACACACAAATCTAGTCATTCACAAGAAGTGCAGTTAAGGCTTAGTTCTCTCTGAGTGATTTCTGATGTAGTGTATACACATAAGGTTTAATCTTTATTATTTAGGAAGCATATTACTTGGGAAACAGATTAAGCTCCTGTAGCAACAAGACACCAAAATATAATGTCTTAGTAAGAAGCACTTTATTTCTGTCTTGAGTAACAGTGTGCAGTTGAGGGATCCGGGCTGCTGGGAGGCTCTCCTCCGTGTCTTCCAGACACCCATATTTAGTGGCTCTCACTCCCATCCATGTTCAACATGTGGCTTCTATTTCTGGTTCCATGAAAACTACAACAGTGTCATTTTCCAGGCAACTTCAAGGGGGAGATTGTGACACATAAAGCAAAACATATCAATTTATTAAAATGATTACATATATAATGAAAACAACTTTATTCTCAGGCTAAAAGGAAAAGAAAAAACTTCGTCATTTGTGCTGCATATATATAATAGTATTTTATATATGCTAATTCACCTTCATTGAAACCATTATTATTTTTTTTTACCATACAATTACATAGTACAATATACTTTCTTTAAATTTCCTAATCAACATAATTTACATAGTCACATATGAATCAATTAGCATTGAAGTACCATTTTGTTTGTTTTTGGTTTGGGTTCGCTTCTGAGACAAGGTCTCCCTGCGTTGCCTAGGTTGGAATGCAAGAGTGTGATCACGGCTCACTACAGCCTTGCCTTCTTGGGCACAAGCAATCCTCCCACCTCAGCCCCCTGAGTAGCTGGGACCTCAGGCATGTACCACCATGCCCAGCTAACTCCTAAAATCCTTCTAGAGATGCGGTCTCACTATATTGCTCGGCCTGGTCACAAACTCCTAGGCACAAGTGCTCCTCCTGCCTCAGTCTGGCCTCCCAAAGTGATGGGATTACCGGCATTTGCCATTGACCCAGGCGTCAAATACCATTTGTTACACAATTACCTTGTGCCAATGATGGTCACCCTTAAAGTATTACTTAAAATAAGATTTTCTTTTAAAGCACATTTTTTGAAATGTAGACATCTGATCTGCCTTAGAGGCACTAAGTAAGTCGCGTGAAGCCTGGACTTTAAGAGTATTAAAAGTTGCGCAGGCCGGGCGCGGTGGCTCAAGCCTGTAATCCCAGCACTGTGGGAGGCCGAGGCGGGTGGATCACGAGGTCAAGAGATCGAGACCATCCTGATCAACATGGTGAAACCCCGTCTCTACTAAAAATACAAAAAATTAGCTGGGCATGGTGGCGTGTGCCTGTAATCCCAGCGACTCAGGAGGCTGGGGCAGGAGAATTGCCTGAACCCGGGAGGCGGAGGTTGCGGTGAGCCGAGATCGAGCCATTGCACTCCAGCCTGGGTAACAAGAGCGAAACTCCGTCTCAAAAAAAAAAAAAAAAAAGTTGCGCAGAGAGTTGGAAGGAGGCAGGGAGTCCGGCCGGGTTGGCGTGCTGAGACGCAGCTGGCGCGACCCTCTCCTCTCTGAATCAGAGTTCGAGTCCCGCGGACACATCAGCGGTGAAGCAGAGACCGTCCCCCGGCCAGTCGTGGCCACATATAAGCGCGTTCTGATCGGGGACGTGCGGGGGGAAGCCCGCGATGTTACAGGGGTTAGTGAAGGATTGCCATCCAGAGACCCACGTGCCACCGTGTTCGAAACTCCCACAGGGTGTTTGGAGACAGGAGCAGAAGGCGGAGCTCAGTCTCCGGGACACCTCGGGACCTCCCTGCTGCCACAGCGTCCGTCCACTCTGCTGCAGCGACTGAGACACTGTTTTCACGTCAGCGGTCCGAGATAGTGGACAGCGCACTCCAGAAGTGGGGGACAGAAAACCGAGATTCCTGTCCCAGGGCGGCGTTCTGCTCCCTGGCTGCGAACAGACCTGAGGCCTCCGATGGAGCTGTCCCGCGGCAGCCGGCGCCGTGTCCTGTGAGCAGGGCTGTGCAGGAGCCAAGCAGCCGGTGCAGAAATCCACCCTGAGGCTCGGCCTTTGCCCCAAAAAAGAGCATCCACAGCATCTGCGGGGGGCACCCACGGCGCGTCTGAGCAAGCCTGGCCCACTGCCCCGAAGGGCCCTGTCCGCAGCCTCTGCAAACCACTGCTCCGCCTCCCCAGTGCCCTGACTCACGTCTTCTGCCTTCAAGAAGGAAGAGGCCAAAAGCTGTTCCATCATATGAAGCCAGATCGGAGGGGAAACAACCGCCTATGTCCTCCCTTGGGGTGCAGAGGCACGGGGAGAGGGAGGATGAGACAATTTAGGACACTGGGCATGCGATTTTCGGATGGCCATGGTGAGGGCTTGGGAGGAGACAGGAATGGGGCGAGGCAGGAGCCGGCCGGGCATGAGGACCTGACACTGTGCGAGAACCAGCATACCCCGAGCCTGGCACTGGGTTGTGGAGGGGGCGACTACCCCAGGGTCCCCGCCAACTGCAGAGGAAGGAAAGCTGTGGGGGGCGGGGGCATGCTGGCCTCATGGGCGTGGGAGCCTACAGCAGCCTCACCCTCAGCATCATGCCTCTTCCACACAGATTTTCCACGCAGGCCAGGGCACGGAAGGGGTCCCTGAAACCTTCCCTTTCCCTCTAAGGAGGCAGCAGAGGAACGGAGAGTGGGGAAGCCAAGTGGCAGCCCCCTTGGGGGCTTAGCCCAGGGGCTTCATAACTGCAGTCAGAAGTGCAGGAGCTGGTCAGAGCCGATGAGAAGGAAACCTCATCTTTGCATAGCCCATGGCTCGCGGAGTGGTGACAGCACACATTCACATGCTTCTCACCTAAGTCCCCGGAGTCCAGGCCCCAGACGCCCTTCTCTTGCAGAGTGTAGGGGTGGTGTTGCTGCAGAGGCAGGGCTGGGTGGGGGTCACCAGATTTTTTCTACCCTTAGGGCAGCACAGCTGGCATGTGTTTTAGAGACTCTTGTCTTTCACATTGGGGGAGGGGGAAGTGTTTCAATCTGTTACATGTTCTGTATTTAATGAAGAAAATCTCTTTATTAATGAAAATATAATACATATAAAGAAAAGATGCACAGCTGATTTCAGTGTTCTACTGTGGGTAAGAAACAGAGCCTGTGGGAATGAGAGAAACATAGTGTTGTATGTCAGGCTCTCCAGAGACACAGAGGCAATAGGTTATGGGGGTGCGTGTGCATAAATGTATGCAGCATAAGCATTGGCTCGTGTGCTTACAGAGTTACGGAGCCTGAAAAGTCCCACTATCTCTGCTGGAGACCCAGGAAACCCAGTGGCGTTATTTCCAGCCTAAGTCTGAAGGCCTGAGAATGAGAAGTGAAAACAGTGTAAGGCCTAGTCCAGGAGCAGGAGAAGACCAACGTCTCTCCTCGTGCAGTCAGGCAGAGAGAAAGAATTCCACCTTCCCCGGCCTTTTTGTTCCACTCAGGCCCTCAACAGGTTGTAAGATCCCCCACCCACACTGGGGAGGGCACTCTGCTTTACTCGCTCCACAGATGCTAACATCTTCCAGAAACATTTTCACAGAAACACCCAGAAATAATATTTAACCAGATATCTGGGCATCCTGTAACCCAGTTAAGATGAAAAAAGAAATCAACACCACACCATCTTAATCAAGCAACAAAAGGCTCTTCAAACTTGCTGTACTTATTAACAGATAAGAAAATCACCTTGATTCTGAGAGCGACAGGGAAGATTAAAGAG